ATCCGCCAGTACCCCCAAGTCCTTCTCCGCAGGGCTGCTCTTGATCTCTTCATCCCCCAGCCTGTACTAATATCGGGGGTTGCCCCATCCCAGGTGCAGGACCTTGCACTTGGCCCAGGCCCACCTCTCCAGCTTGTTCAGGTCCCTTTGGATGCCATCTCGTCCTTCTGGTGTGTCAACTGCACCACTCAGCTTGGCGTCGTCTGCAAACCTGCCGAGGGTGCACTCGATCCCACTGTCTGTGTCACTGATGAAGATATTAAACAGCACTGGTCCCAGTATGGACTCCTGAGCGACACCACTAGTCACTGGTCTCCATTTGGACATCGAGCTGTTGACCACTACCCTCTGGATTTAATTTTAAATTAAGACCTTTTGTTATGCCAATTTTTTTTTGTTTTTTCCTTGAAATTATTTTCTAAGAGAACACAGGAGCTATGGTTACAATGGTTCTGTTGTTATCTGATTTATAATGGACAAATCCTCAAACAGTATGATTGCTGCTGCACATGTGAGAAACTGTATTATTGGCGTAAAGAAAAAAAGTCTTGTGTGATGGTTCTCTGTCCCTAAGCTCTACTGATTGAGAAAAAAAACAGATAAACCCTGAGCACTCACTAAATTTGTAGTTATATGTAGCAGTATATCTGTAGGATGACTTAAACCACATTAGTTTTTGCAACTTTACTACCTCTTTCTCCACAAGGAAACAGTACACAGGGTGTGTCTTGAATTTCCAGTTGATTATTCCTTATCTTGATAGTTTTGGACCTTTTCTTACCTTCTGTATGCCTGGAAAACAAACCGACCTAAAATACTTCTCTCTGAAATAAGGGATGGCAAGTGAAATACATCAGCTTCCTAATCTTTATATGTCTTTTTCTACAGTTGGATTATATTACGTATAAACTACCCCCAAATCTGTTCTTTCTTGGGGTGCAGCTAATGTACCTATGTAATGGCAAGTTTTACTGCTCACAGGTGGAGCAGTGAGCTGGGCACACACTGTAGATACACTGTACTAGTACGGATTCAACCACAGGAACTTGATCTTAGATCTGAGTGCTTGCTGAAGACAGCAGCATACTTCTGCTACAGCCCCTGATCTTTATCAAATGGCCATCAAAAAGCACTAAGAATATTTTCACTGCATTTCATGTGAGCATGGGAATCAAGCTTTTAAAAAATGCCCCCCAGACAGACAAAATTCAGAGAACAACTGGATGTGCCCAAACCCTAATGGAAAACTTTATTTCTGGGATACCATAAAGTCTCCAAAAGGTAGTTTTAAGTAAGTCCTTTTAAATTTTCATATGTGTGCAAGTTGAGTGAATGAGAATAGGGGAACTGCAGGAGGAGTAAAAGATGGTAAAACCTGATTTTTTTGAAAGATAATGTTACTTGGGAGAACATATACCAAAATACATCTCACTTTCTCCTGTGTCCACATATTAATAAGTTTACAATAATGCTTTCTGTGCATCTATGCAAATACTTGAAGAACGCAATTCATTGTGCCTTTTGCCTAGTTTTAATAAATATGTTAGTTGTCATTAACAAATATCCTGTCACTGTGTGCTATTTCGTTACCTTGGTTCAAATCTTCATCTTATATGTGGCACTTGTCCAGAGATGACAGGATAGCTGGAGGAATGGCTTTTATGAAATGCAGTTCCAGGTGTTGAGAAGGATGAGTCCTGTTTACAATCTATTTCTAAAATAAAATGCTTAAAGCATTACACCAATTAGGGCACCAAAAACAAAGCTAAAATGAATTACTTGGATTATTTTCTGCTACCAAAGGAGGTCGCTGCTGTTTTACTCTCTGCCCCAGATGCTCCTGCTGCTGTACTCAGCTGTCCTTCAGCCTGTTTATCCTTTGGGGCTACACCAGTAAGATCAGAGAAATCATTAAAAACTTTCAGATCCACCTGCAAAGGTTTTTTTTTTTAGAAAAAGCCTTTATTTCCCTTCCCACATTCCAAAAAGAAAGTCCTGAAATGTTATTAAAATAAGAGATTACATATTCCTCCCCTGCCTCAGCCCCAAGTTGCATTTGCTCAGCAATGCTCAGACCCAGGTGTAACCAGGTCAGCATCTCAGACAGCATCAGTGTGTGCTGTGGTCCAGGGCTAATCCAGCCAGAGATGCCTCCAGACCGAGCCAGCTTGGCAAAGCCAGCTCAGGCTTTGCAGCTCCCTGTTTGGGATTTGTTGTAAGCAAATGGGCGCCAGTCTCCCTGTGCTGCTATAAGACCCAGCAGCAAGATGGCAGAAACTTTTAACTGCGGTAATACCTTCCTTTTTCACCTTCCAGCTCAAAATGTTATTTCTCTCATCCCTTTGTCCTCACCACTGATACAAATCCAAGGGGGTTTTGAAGGTGAGCCATGAGCAAGAGTCCAGGTAATATCCATACTATATTGAGAGAGATGGAGAGGGGTGAACGGGACTGCTCTGGGATAAGCCGCACCCCTACAGCTCTGCAGAGCATTACCCACTTACACCTGTTTGGCTTTTAACACACAGCTCATACCTCCCTCTGAACAACAACAACAAAAAAGCTTTTGGGCTTAAATGATAGTAGGACAGGTCATGGGTTCAAAGAGTTTGGGGGCTCTCCAAGGTCAAGACATTTGCTAAGAAAAAAAAAAACAAACAAACCCTTAAAACTTACAGCCACTTGCTCTTGCAGGCTGAAAAGATTTTCATAGACCACAAAAAGTCTTGAAGACGGTGGCAATGTTTCTCCTGACACAGGGTTTACCCTGCCAGAACTTCCCAGCCTGAGTCGGGGCTGCCCCTTGCTCCGGTGAGGTCTGGATCAGGCCCAGCTGCTTCACCAACCACACCAACATGGCCTGGGCACCATAGCTGCTAAGGGAAAACACCCAAACAAAAACCCACATAAAACTAATTAACCTGTGCCGCAGGGAAACTCTTGCACCTCACAAAAACCAAAAACTGGGAAAGATTTCTCTGCCACGGTCCTGTAAAAACACTTTATGGCTTGGGTCCTGCCCTAAAGGTCCTGCCATGCCACTGAGCCTAAGTGAGCACCTATTCCAAAATTTGCTCTTTTGCCCATATTCACCAATATTCTTGTCCCATATTTGCCAAGCAAGTAATTTAACATGGATGAGCAGAGTCTGAATAGCAGGCGTACACCATTCAGTCCTTGTCTCTCACCTCCATTTGAGATACTGGTGTGTATTTTAGCGTTCATGCAAGTGTCTAGAAAGGAAAAAAAAAGACAAAAACACTAATCAATGACTCAGTCAGGGCCTGGAAATAAACACATCAATGGCCACCCCGGGGAAGGAGTGCAAGAGTAAACATTAGCCCTGCCAAGAATAAGAGATGGGAAGGGGCCTCAAAGAGGAGCTCTGTCCCAGGAGTATCATATTTTAAGAGATTTTAATTTTCAGTGGCTGCATGTATTAAAGCTCAGGAAGGATTAAACATACCCCTTGCTGCCACACCATGAGAAAGATCCAAGCCAAATGCCCAAAGAAAGACTTGGCTTGACTCTACCAAGCTTTGGATAAGACACTGTTGGCTTTATGTTCTGCTTTTCCTTTTTTAAATTGCTCACTAGCAACTGGAGTATTGACATCAACCCATTCACCCAACCTCCACACCCTTGCATACAACACACTAGGTGTAGATCATGAATACTTTGGGTTTATCCTCTGGGGCGATGCTGGAGTTGTCCACTTCTATCAGGATGTTCTTGTCATCTCGGGTGACTGGCGCTTGCTGTCCATTCTGGAGGACTTGTGGTAGATTCCCTAAACTGACGTCCATGTCTTTGAAGGCATGGAGTAAAAACACGCCCAAAATGATGGTGAGGAAGCCACAAACTGTCCCAATGATGTCCACTACAGTCATGGTGACCCACTCCTTAAAGAGGATGATGGAAGTTGCGATGACGATGGTGGTGAACAGCACATAGTAGATGGGAAACACCAAAGAGGTGTTGAAAATGTCTAGAGACTTATTGAGGTAGTTAATTTGTGTAGTGATGGATGCCACCAGCGTGATGACTAGGATCCATGTCAACGGGTGCTGCAGCACAGGCCGGCCAGCAAAGAAGCCCTTGATGGCAATACCCAGGCCCTTGACTGAGGACACAGAGAAGGCACCAATAACGGAGCAGATGGTGAGGTAGATGAGGATGTTGCTCTGGCCATAGCGGGGTGCGAGGTAGAAGATCAAGAGGAAGCAAAGAGCCAAGAGGATCGCAGCGTAAGTGAGGAAACCTGGAAGAGGGAGAGAAAGAACTCAAAACTGAGTGACAGGGATGGGGACAGAGCAGTACACGCTGCCCGGCCCCAAGAGAGAAAACACGACCTCCTGTGTTACCTGGCTCTTTCAGCTTAGAAGCCATTTCATCCAGAGTGGTGACCTCCTCGTCCTCTGGGGCATGTATCACCATCACGGTGCTGCCCACAAGGCTCAGCATGCAGCCCAGCTTTCCCAGCAGGTTGAGCCGCTCTCCAAGCAAATACGAAGACAGGATGGCACTGCACAGGACAGACAAAGCTGGTACTTTAAAGTCCTTTAAAGAAGGAACAGCAGCTAAAATAAGGTAAAGAATGCCTTCATGTGATACAAGGACAAAAATCTGGAGTAAATTAGAGTAATACACAATCACATTGCAGCCACTGACAGCTGACACTGCAGAGATGCAGGTGTGGTCTGTAGATCACAGCTCAGGTACCACTAAGGTGAAAAAATGCTGAATGCGTTAGCACATCTTCAGAAATATTTTTGAGGTCTCCAAATTCACTCATGAACTGTCGGGTATTATGAAGCCTCTAGTGCCCAACAAAATGACTTCAAGGACCAGTATAACAGACCCCCCCCCCAACCTAACAACAGAAGAGTTACATTAATTTCAACTAAATCATCAGAACTATTAAGCCCCAGAGAAACTCTGAAGGTACTGGAGCTATAGATATATCTGCAAAAATACCTAGCTGTTGTCCATAAAAATTTGGGGCAAGACACCAGAGCAGTCCCAACTCTCAGTTTGCTTATGTGTTTCACCATAACAGTCCTTCTAGAAAACCTTCAGTACCTGGAGTCATGTATTTTGATATGAATCTCCTTTTTAAAAATAAATAAAATAAAATAGGGTTTCAGCCCTTTTAGCAACAGACAAAAGTACAAAAACACAACATCAGAGCACCCTAAAAGCCTAGAAAATAAAAGGCAAACAAAAGACAGTTTAAAAATAAGACTGATATTTTTGACCCTTTTAGATTTTCAGTACTGTTCACTACAAAACCAAACCAAACCAAAAAAACCCAACCTTGAATTGGCTGAAGAGCTGGAATAAGGAAGGAAGTAACACTGGTATTTGCAATAATTTAACCTGAAGTGTATGTGGCTGCTATCCACATGCAGCATTTCCAGAAGGGCTACATAATTCAGTGGTTTCCAAATGATCCCCCAAAAGGACAACGACTGTTAGAGCTTTTTTTAGAAAACACTGAGACATTTTTGCCTTTCAGCAGAATAAATCATACTAGCATCACTTCAAGTCTTTCTATCTTACAAGACAAACAGGCAAATAAAAAACGTCAAATTGCAAACTATAGACACATAAATCACCTTATGAGCACGCTCAGAGCCCCCAGAGGCGTGACAATAGTTGCAGGAGCAAAGGCATAGGCGGCAAAGTTGGCAGCTTCCCCTCCACCCACTAAACAAACACAAGAAAAATAAACCAGTGAGTTGCAGTATACTTTTTGTGTTTTCTCTTGTGGGCTTGCAAACGAGTAAGATGTCAGTTAGAGAGTGGGTTTTATTATGGAAGTTTCATGCTGCTTCTAAACAGGGCCAGAGAGTGGGTGCAAATCTCTCTGTTACAAATTAACGCAAGCAGAGAGGCATCCCTGGAGCCCTGGCACCACCAGCCCTCCTCCATGTGGGTGCCAGGGCTTGGCTGTGTCACAGCTGACCCCTATTAACTCATTAAAGCCCCATGCCCAGCCAGGCAGCTGCAGTGTGTCTGGGTAATGAACTGGGGCGTGGGCAGTTTTGGGAGCTCCAGTGCTAGGCGGCTGCTCCTCACTTATAAAGTGTCCCCTTGGGGCTGTGGTGTCACCCTGTGGCTGAGCTGTCCTTGTCCCCTGAGCAGTGAGTATTGCATGCTTGCTTGCTTGCTTATGGGCTGTGCTACAGTGGTTGTGCAGCAGGAGCTGCAGGGGCGGAGCAAGGTGGGGGCACTTTGAGCTGCTGCTGCAGCAGTGAGAGCCAAAGACTGCTCTGAAAAACCCTCTTGTGAAATCTGCTGCTCTCTGTGCAGCTATGAGTCCAGTTTGAGAAGATACTGTAATGTTGCAGCATGAAGAAAAAGGTTTTAAGGCTTGTTCTAAGGGAATTCAGGTTTTGCTCAAGAAATGAGCTGCTACCAATGCCTCCTTGTTATCTCCCCTGTGCTGCAGCAGCAACCTTTCCCGGAGCCCACAGGCATGCATGGGAGGCTGTTTGCCCGGTGCTTGGTACACAAGCAGACCGGCTAGCTGCCTTATTAAAAATTGGCTTTTCATGCTTTTGGTCAGGTAAAACTGAGCTAGCAAGTTCTACCAGCCCTGCAGGAGGATGGTGAGGGAGATTCTGTATAGCTCACTGCCTCTGCTCTCCTTGAGGTACCTCTGCTGAGGATGGGGAAACTTGCCAGAAAAAAGGTTTTAAGCCACCAGATGCTGGGTTTGTTCCACACCTGGTTCACAGGGACAGACCCTGGAAAAGCTGCAAACCCAGGGAAATGGCTTCTACTTACTGGTTAACAAGCCAGCCCACCAGAGCCAGTCCTTTAGGTAGCCGTGGCCCCCGTCTCCTGAGGAAGCAAAGCACACAGGTATGCAGGAGTTAACAACCGTGTTCTTCAGAGCAAGAGATGAGAAATGTCCCTTTGGAGAGGGATAAATTGCAAGGGGAAGAGTGTGACAAGGAAGGACAGAACATGCAGACATGCCATCCTATGTGGAAATTATGTTGAATCAAGGGATTAGCGGAAACTGGCACTTAGGGCTGGACAATGCAGATACAGTAGAAGCAGTGGTTTAATCCTGGCTGGCAATGGGACCGCCATCCATTGCCCCAAAGCCACAGAAGTTATTGGCCTGGGGTCCAGCCTGCCATGCTGCAGCATGGAGCTTGGGGCTGCCATTCAGCCCTGGGAGCTGTGGTTATCCTCACTGGTTTTTCAGGGTGCATCAGCCCCTAAACCCAGCAATCAACACCCCAGCTGAGCTCCCATGGACTAGTCATGTCTCATCTTTCATGTTCCACTTGTCTGTTCCCTGTGGGGTGCTCCCAGAACAGAGAGACAAAGGATGGCAGGGGCTGCTCTGTGCTAGGTGCCCCCCACCCAAAGGCTGCTCCCTGAGGCACTGCCAGCCTGCACCCTGCCTGTGGGGAGCTTGTGCTTCACCTTGCATTGCACCGGCTCGCTGCAGAGTCTCATGCATGGGCAGTAAGGTAAGGCAATGAGTTTTTGCAAACCCAGCTCAAGCAGGGGTTATAGCTATGAAGGATGAAGAGGGGAAAAACTGGTTGGTTGCTCTGTGCGGGCGTGTGGTGCCATAGTTCCTGTTGCTGTACGGTTGTGGTGAAGGCTCCCTGCATCCTGTCCCAGAAGCTATCTGCCCCTTTTGTATACTGCTTTGTATCATAGCTGTATCACAGTGCCTCAGCCTGAACCGCCAGAAATCCTAATGTTAACTTGATGTGGAACAGTCATTATGTGACTGAGCATTTCTGATGAAAAATGATTCCTGGCATTGGAACAACTAAATGAAAGAAAATGTGCCTATAAATGAAGAAGAATGGACATATTATGTTGGGAAATAATCCAGCTCTGGTCTTAACCCACAAGCTGTTAGATGTAAGGAGCCTGTGCCTGCTGACATTGTGAACCCTGATTTTGCTGGGTCAGAGAGAGCCCATGTTTTTGGTAAGTCTGACCTGACTGGAGTTGTCGGTAGCAGCAGTGTTTGACCTGCCTTGGAGAAAAGTGATGTGCTCAGATAGCAGGGGTGAAACACTGGGACTGAGAGATTAAAGGGTGAGATAGGGAA